CTAGCCTAGGTTACATCACGCAACCATATTGTAGTCATATATTCAATTTCATTACCACTCATTTGAGCATTCACTGCTTCCAAAAATGCCACATCTAATAAACAGTTACTCATATCCACCATACAAGTCCTTATTCAACAAACAGTTGTCATATTATCCAACATACAAGTCCTTTATTCAACAGCCACCGCTAATATCTAACATACAAGTCCTTTATTCAACAAACAGTTGTCATGCATTCAACATACAAGTCCTTTATTCAATGTAAACAGCTGCCGCCATAATTCAACATACAAGTCCTTTATTCAACAAACAGCTGTCACATTCAACATACAAGTCCTATATTCAACAAACAGTTGTCATGCATTCAATGGCGTCCTTGATTCAACAAACAGTTGTCACATAATCAACATACGACAATCCAATATGAGCCATTTCTAAGCCGGCTGTCCTAATATCTCAACATACAATCTGTAATTCCTTCAACATGTATAGTCATGCTTTTAACATACAGCTCCCATACAGCGGCGTACATTGTAATAGCCGTGAAGCCTTAAAAGAGAGCGTATATTAAATAACCTCAAGATACTTTAAATTATAAACATCACATTAAATGCGCATCAATGACAACTGAGGTGTTGAAAAATCACACACACTACAGCGTAGCCACCCCCACAAACAAACAGCCAAGGGTGTCATCATATCACATGGGGCATGAGAGCCTCCACGCACTCTCACAAACCCCACTTCACACAATAAACAGCCAAGTGAAACTCTACCTATATCACATAGGATGAGAGCCCTCCAATACCACACTCACAAACCCCACCCTTAGCCATATCATACTGCTGAAAAGTCACTCTCATATATCACATAGGTAGACAGCTTGAGAGCCTGCTACTACTGCCACTCACAAACCCCACCAATTACCACAGCTGAAGGAAAGTCTCCAATAACACCCTGGAGGTAGCGGACAGCATCCACAAACCCTACCCCACACAATAAAACAGCTGAAGTGAAGTCTCAACAACACCCTGGAGGTAGTGGAAGTCTCAACAAATCTTGGAGGTAGCGGAGAACGTGTCTACAACCCTGCAATTCTGATGCTAATCTTGTTAAATATCATGGCGGGGACACTCAGGATATGTAATTGGGCTCCATTAATACTGCACCCAGGTGGGGAATTGAACCTGGTGGTCTTGGCAGCATCATTTAACACTTCAAATCTCTACAATACCAGAGAAATGAAATAAACAGATACAGAAAGATTCAGTCAACATCAGATAGGTAGTGATGCGGGAACATATATACCATTTTACATTACTTTGACATTCTAGTGACTTAGCACCATAAACGTGCATAGTTCATTGCTAATAGTAGCGTTCACGTTGCGCAGCATGTCGGCTAGGCTGCAATGATTCATCCAGACCTCGATCTGGATTCGGATTTTCGATATATGGACCTCCTTTGATTCCATCATTTTTCGTCGATCTTCCATGTCGCCAAAAACATCAGATTCCATAATTTTGAATCCCGCAAACTTCAATTTTCGGCGTTAAATCTATCATGAATCTTGGCGATGTCTACGCCCAACAATTGCTATCAGATAATTTGTTCAGTAATGGTCAATCACGTTTCTGGTCTTATTCTTCAGCGCCTCGATATCCGCTCGGTGCTGGGAAGTCGTACCATGTCCGTCGCCAGCAATTCTGTTCATAAAGATTCAAATATCAAATAATGGCTATCATTTCAAAACCGTCCAAGTTTGTCCGATTCGACTTTCGACTTCGACCGAATCAGAATCGCAGCAGCCCTGAGCGCCAAAGGGGTTACGTCACAGCAACAAATAATCGCCATGAAGTCAGTAATAATCCCATCCCCTTAGGCAACTCCAAACAACAAATATGGTATAAAAACTAAACTCCTCATAATATTCGTCTGGGCATGTATATCACTTTCCGCAGCGTCAGCTTAATATCGATACAATCCGTCCCCGCAGTTACAATGGAATGTGAAATTAACCATGCTCGGCTGATCTCTAATGAACCAATATATAGTTTGTCTCCTTCAGCAGTGAAGAATAATATTATATCGCCTTCCTGAAAGGACGTTTACAACAACTCCGGGTACCTGAAATCCAGGTTACCGATGAAATCCAAGAAGACACCCGTGCCTCATCCAGCGATCGCTGAATAAATGATGCTCGAAAACGCCATTAAGGCACAATTTTATTGGGAACAACTGATGAGGATGGAGTTTTCCATGAGATGGTTATGAAGAAACATACGAACCATAGTGAGGCAAAACAAAAAAATTCCTAAACATATGGAAAATCAACCATGCGTCCATCCACAAAAGTCAATTCTAGCGCAATTGAGTACTGGGCCATCCCCAACATGTTATCAAAGCAATATTAGGTCGGTGGAGGCAGTTCCTGTGCCAGACCAAGCTGGTGCCATGATTTATGGGAAATTGCAACAATATCAAAAGCACTCGCAGGACAGATTGGCATTTCCACATGAAACATAAGGTTGCATTTGGGATTTAACTTTCTTTAGAGTAGTACAAATTCTAATAATTTCCTGGCTGGATCCCCGATCAGGGATCTCGAACACACACCCTCAGAGAGATCCCGATGGGACTCCAACCCAATAAAGTACCTTCGTGATTTTACTAAGAAAAGCTAAATCCCAACATAACATATGTTGGCATTTGACCACTTCAAAATGGACAATGTGTGTTCGCTATGATGGACATGTCTCAATTCATGTTGAAGTCCCAATTATGCAAGAAATGACGGGAGTTTGTGTAAAAATACAGATGCGCATCAATTTCGTCTTCCATGGACCAATCTGAGGTCACCAGCAAATCACAACGCGAACAGAGTTGGCTTGAGCTGGCCATGCTATATCCACAATTTCGAGACAAGTTGATGGAGTGTCCAGACTCTCAGTGGGTGAAAGGGAGCGGAGTTGAAGCCCCTCAACATTCCAGCAATATCACCACGCCCAGAAACAGGCTTCAATAATATTATGTTAAACCAGCCTGAATATCTTCGGCGAGATGGTTAAAAACGCTTATCAACCAGGCTACCCTGCGTTCAGACTGAAGAACGATCTGTCAACGGACCAGCGACAACGGAATGTTATCCAGATTGAAGACAACGATTAGTTATCCGTATTCCAGCACATAACGTGATTGGTTATCCAGACTGAAGACAACGTGGATCGGTTATCCAGATCTAAATAGATGATTTGTTATCCAGGACAGAAAACAACATGGTGGTGTGTCCAGACTGAAGACAACATGTAGTTGCGTATCCAGATATGCTCAGTATGATCACAGATTACAATTCATAATTCGGCAATGGATGTGAACTGTGTGATGGTCCGAAGAGCCTGATGATCAAGCAAATAGGTACCGGTATGTATATTGACATGAGGAGGCTCCAACAGCAACGTGAGGGACAAGTAGGGACGGCATGTTGGTGCTGGTGAGGCTAGGAGCTCTGCAGTGCTCGGCGGAACTGCTCCTTCCAGCCGTAGATGATGCAGTTCTTGAAGCCCTGAGTGGACCCAGAAGCGAGGTCTTCGAAACAACACCAACAATAATAGTCCCAGCGATTCACTCGCAAGCCACATGCGGAACAAAACCCCTGATTGACATAAACATTACACCAACAATAGTCCTGTTACGATCTTCACTATTAATAATCGGCAGAACAGAACCACATCCCTTATATGAATTCATCTTTTTTTTTTTTGTGGCCACTAGAATCTATTACGACCGCAACATTTTTTAAAAAGAGTATTTTCACTTGAGCATGGAGTAAGGAGTTTGGCTGGTACGCCGCATTTAGCAATATTCTGAAGCATAATCACGAAAGTCGACTTCGGAAATGGATTGTACATTGCGCCCATGTAATTTTGAACCTGGTCCTCGGCGTAGACGAGCTAATGCCTTCAACCTCCAGGTAATACCCCACCGCCCCTTTTCAGTTGCGGCAGAAGGTCTGATATTTATCAAAGTCGCTAACATCAGCAAACCCGTCATAGGCTATAGGCTATAAGGGCATTGTCGCAACGTATTCCTTACCCAAACTATCACTGAAATGTTTCTCACCTAATCAGTGATACATTCTCCATTTGCAAGTAAACATAAAGTATTCAGGAATAAATATTTGTTACTCAATAGTCATGAGAAATATATATCATATTCCATCTCAAAGTGTATTCAATTCGCAGCCCGTAACAAACCACTCTTACATTAACTCCATGAGATACCAAGGTCGGTTTCAACCATCCCTACACAGCTCCTGATAATGTTTTGGATCAAACCGCAAGACTGCATGTTGAAACATTTCTAATTCAGACAGGGTATTTTAATATCGAAACAGACCCAGTTGCAGGGTTGGGTATTTCTAATCTCACAGAAAGGGAATAAAATCTGTGGAAAGGGGCATTTCTAATGGGGTAGGACCCAGTTGCAGGGCTGGGTTCACAGAAAGGAAACAGGAACAAGGGTATTTCTAATCCTCACAGGAAAGCACTGCGTCTGGGGGACCGAGTTGCAGCTGTAGAAGGCATTTCACAGAAAGGAATAAGGGTTGGCATTTTCACAGAAAGGGAACCGGGTTGCAGGGTTGGGGACCCAGAAAGGGAATGTGGACCCAGTTGCAAGGCCAGGGTATTTCTAATCTCACAGAAGTGAATAGGGGCTGAAGCCGGTGTCAGGTATGATGGAGGAGGTTTGGCGGGTTGGGACACCTGTGCTGTGTAGGTTGGTTAAATCACTTTACAAATATTTGCAATCAGAAAAACATCTCTAATCTCACAGAGAGGGAATGGGACACAGTATTTCTAATCCACAGAAAGGGAATGGGGACCCACCTGCAGGGTAGGTATGGCAATAAAAGTGGTCGCACATTATGAAACCCTTCCGTGAAGGATATCACCCAAGATGAGTAGTCGCAATATATGAAAACCCTTCCGTGAAGGATATCACCCTAAGATGAGGGCTGAAACACAATATTAACAATAATCAACCAGGAGGATCACGGGTACAGAAGCCCGTACATTTACACCGACATGAAAACCTGCAAGTAGACTCTGCCTGTTAACACACCTCTCAGACTGATGAACATATAATAGTGACATATGAAACTGAAACAGACATCTTTGAAATGGTTAAAATCTTGATCAATGACCAAATCGTCTTCAAGTAAACGTAATTATTAGATTTAAAGTAACTGTACTGCTATACGAGCTACCCTCGTCTGTACCATAATGACATAGACTACCGGTAGCCAGCGCAATGACGGGAAGCGGCAATACTGGTACAGTATTACCGCATTGTTACCCCTCGTCTGGTAATTATAACGACATGCCACCACTGGGTAGCCAGCAAACACAGGAAGGCACACTCGGTACAGTATTGCCATATTGTTACCCTCGTCTGCATTATAACGTATTATTAAGCAACACCACCTAAATGAAATTGTGCCAACATGTTACAAGTACATCAAGTACAAATACGTTTACCTATCGTCTGTACTAACACATGATATACTCATTGCAACCAGCAAATTATAGAAGCACACTGGTACAGAATATTTGCTATATTGTTACCCCCTCGTCTGTATCATAACTATAATGACAGGAAGGCAATACGCCATTATTCGTATTGTTACTGGACATATAGTCCAGCCAACACAGGAAGGCACACTGGTACAGTATTGCAATAACATATTGTTCACCCTTGTCTGTATTATAAAGACTATATACTGAGGTCGGTAATTTGATAATATATAATCAGCAAGCAACACAGGAAGGCAACACTGGTACTGTGTATTGCATTATTATCTGTACCATAATGGCATATACCCCCTCGTCTAGTACTATGCAGAATTGTCGTATTATACTTGTCACTATAATGACATATAGCAAGCAACACAGGAAGGCACACTGGTACAGTATTGCTATATTGTTACCCCTCGTCTGTACTATAATGACATATACTTTCACTGGGTAGCCAGCAACACAGGAAGGCAACACTGGTACAGTATTACTATATTGTTACCCCTTGTCTGTACTATAATGACATATACTCACTGGGAAGCCACCAACACAGGAAGCGCAACACTGGTACTGTATTACTGTATATTGTTACCCCTTGTCTGTAGAATTGTAATGACATATACTCACTGGGTAGCCAGCAACACAGGAAGGCACACTGGTACTGTATTGCTATATTGTTACCCCTTGTCTGTACTATAATGACATATACTCACTGGGCAAAGCAACACAGGAAGGCACACTGGTAGAGTATTGCTTTATTGTTACCCTTGTCTGGTACTATAATGACATATACTCACTGGGTAGCAAGCAACACAGGAGGAGGCACATGGTACTGTATTGCTATATTGTTACCCTGGTGTCTGTACTGTAAATGACATATACTCACTGGGTAGCCAGCAACACAGGAAGGCACACTGGTACTGTATTGCTATATTGTTACCCCTTGTCTGTACCTATAATGACATATACTCACTGGGTAGCAAGCAGCACAGGAAGGGACACATTGCTTTATTGTTACCCTCGTCTGTACAAAATGACATATACTCACTGGGTAGCCAGCAACACAGGAAGGCACACTGGTACAGTATTGCTATATTGTTACCCCTTGTCTGTACTATAAAGACATATACACCACTGGGTAGCAAGCAACACAGGAAGGCACACTGGTATAGTATTGCTATATTGTTACCCCTCGTCTGTACTATAATGACATATACTCACTGGGTAGCAAGCAACACAGGAAGGCACACTGGTACTGTATTGCTATATTGTTACCCCTTGTCTATACTATAAAGACATATACTCACTGGGTAGCCAGCAACACAGGAAGGCACACTGGTACAGTATTGCTTTCCTTCTCACAGTCGACTCCTCCTGACGCTGATGGAAGGTGTACAAACCTGAGGGTGGTTAAACATATCTCAGTAAGAGGCAGCTACCTTGAACAGTATTTCTGAGTAATCCTAGTTGAAAAGACTGAAGTGACACTGGAATACTGTGGAGAAACCAGTTTGAAGTGAAATGGTGCAGTGAAACTTCAGTGAGGGATAGCTGGGCATCAGATGCTAAGGGAGGTAACTCTACTGTAACTACTACATGGACCCTTGAATACTGCCACTCATACTACCCTATCTATTTATGCAATAGAGGTAAGGTGGTCACTGTGGAAGGATAAACATCAGTCACACATGACCTATGAATGAAAAATATTACACATCCTCACACAAAATCTACAACTTACAAGAGATACTCATTCATTCCACAACCATCATTCACTTTTCAACAACACAGACATTTATTCATTCCCTCACTCATCTACGACAGATTGCTCAGTGACAGTCTACTCACCTCTCCTCATGGACACTTGCTTGAAGGCTCGGGTTATGAACACGTAAAGCAACTGAAGACAGAACACAATACAAATTACAATTTACAATTTCTCTCAATTAGTTCACAGTGAGGTGCCCACTTACGCAGGAAAACAGACCTTTCAGATGATTTGCTTCATAATGTTAATCCTTTGCATTTGAAAAGTCCACACACTCAAGCAGAATGTGCTTGATGGTGGTGGAGCGAATACAACAAAGGGGACACAACTCTACTAATAGTAAGTGAGTTTGGTTTTACGCTGTTTTTAGCAATATTCCAGCAATATCACGACACGGGACACCAGAAATGGGCTTCACACAATGTTCCCATGTGGGGAATTGAACGCGTGACAAGCAAAGCTTTAACCACTATTATAAACCTCCAGTGATGTCACTCTATTGTCTCTATAGGTTCTCCTTTCACTGAGTAAACATCTTCAGGCAGTTTCGCGGGCATTCTCCATGAAATCCCGTGGATCTTCTGTAGAATTGCCCGCATCTTGGGGATTTTCTGAGGAATAGCCCTTGACTTTCAATTATTATTATTATTATATTTGAAGATTGATATAACTTTGTCTTGCTATCACTGAACACGATGTTGAAATGTCACACTATTGCATACTTCCATCATCTTCCTGGTTTCAAACCTGCAATCCTTCGCTTACAAGCTTGGCAGTTTTATCCACTAGCTACGAGGAATCGCTGTGAAGAATGAAATTGTGTGTCAGTATGAACCATGTGTTCCTCACAAGCAGGGGTGGAAATAACCCATTGCCTGACGTCCGAGTCCAGTGTTTTTTCTGTCGGGCAAGCACATTTGTATATAACACTGTACCGGTGTCCAGTTGACTTTCCAATGTTAATTATGTTGTTTTTGTTTTTTTTAAAAACAGAAGACGGCCGGTATAGTGGAAAACTTATCAGGGCAAGTGATTTTACATGTGATACTGTACCGGAGTACACTAGCAATTTTAAAGTTATTGCCACCCCTGACAAGACGGGTCCTGCGGGCAGCGAACGTGCAGGACACAGGTAGCGCATGCAGAGCACGTGCATTGCGCATGCAAGGCAAGGTGTCAGTTGCCAGTCGCATCCCGGTTGATTTCAACAGTAAATACCAAATATTATAATTATATCTAAAGTATATCTTCGGTCGGTTCATAAGTTGCATCAAAACCGACTCCGGGGTTTTGTTTCAAATAGTAAGCCCTTGTCCATGGGAAATTGGGCCCCCTCCAGAATTTCCTTCTGCTGCAGGCTTTCTTTTTCAAACAAAACCTCGGAGTCGGTTTTGATCCTTTATATAACATCTGAGGAAAAAGATAGACAGGGGACACAACTCTGTACTCACAAGGTTAGAGATGAACACTGCGATGAGCGGAACGAAGAACACCAGCTTGTATGCAAGATGCCAGGAAACGCCGCAAACCACTTGAGTCTGAAATACAACAACATGCAGAATGTCAGGCAGATCAACTTGACGTGTTACAAGGACAAGCGATGTCAGCGAAGGAGGGAGTTGTTCAATGCTGCCAATTGTAGCAATTTCCCAGCAGCAGGCTTCACTGACCACTAATAATCAATCCAGACAATTCCACAGATCATCAGAACTATCTGGGATCTATTTTAACATGAGTGAGTGAGTGAGTTTAGTTTTATGCTGCTCTCAGCAATATTCCAGCTATATGGCGGCGGTCTGTAAATAATCAAGCCAGGACAAGACAAAAATCCAGTCATCAAAAGCATGGGCATCAATCTACACAATTGGGATACGATGATATGTGTCAACCAAGTAGGCGAGCCGGACCACCCGATGCCGTTAGTCGCCTCTTACGACAAGCATGGGTTACTGAAGATCAATTCTAACCCGGATCTTCACGGGTCCCACATGAATGAAACTCACCCAACATGGATCATCTTGAGTGTAGTGGAACACTGGCAAACATCTGCAAGACAAAACCAGTAGATGCTGTACATTCAACATCGCAATCATATTCTTTGAAACTTCAAAGTCACACAGTGTTGAATGTGAAAACACCTACGTAGCATAAATGAGTGAGTGAGTATGGTTTTACACCTCTTTTAGCAATATTCCAGCAATATTACGGTGGGAGGACACCAGAAATTGGCTTCACACATTGTACCCATGTGGGGAATCGAACCTGGGTCTTCGGCTTGACGAGTGAACGCTTTAACCACTAGGTTATCCCACCGCCCGGAAGAATAGAGGCACCATTACACTCTAGGTACATATTGAGTGAACTGAAATTAACATTTTTAATAACACAATTAGGCCAGACCAGACTTTAGCCTTTAGGCTACCCCACTGCCCCCTACTAGTATAGCATGAGAACAAACGAAGCACACTGGAACCATAGTTCATCCAGATAGAGACATTAAAATACTTGTTACCCAAAAATAACCTGAAAGTCGTACTTATTTTAACAAAATTTGATGCAGTTATTTGAAGAAAATGCATGGCCAAGTTCAGCTTCATCATAACATCAGCTGCACACAAAAAGATGTTTGACTCATGGAATCATGATACACCTGGTCCTTTTCGTCTGCAATATATATTTTCAGTCAGGTTACATTTATGACAATCCAGATTGAAGTCAATATGACAGAGAAAGGTTGTTGTCAGGACTCACGTGGAACATTCAGCTGGGATGACTTTAGTGAAATTGACATGTGGGCTGGTGGTGTCCTTGGCGGTCACCCAGTGCGTGAACACCAGCAGAATAATCCCCGCAGCCAGCGGCACCATCCTGCACAACACAAACACCATCATGATGAGGGAGTGAGTTTAGTTTTACGCCACACTTGGCAATATTCTAGCTATATGGCAGCAGTCTGTAAATACTGGAGTCTGGACCAGACAACCCAGGGATCAACAGCATGAGCATCGATTTACACAACTGGGATACGATGACATGTGGCAACCAAGTCAGCGAGTCTGACCACCCGGTCCTGTGTCGCCTCTTACGACAAGCATGGGTTACTGAAGATCAATTCTAACCCGGACCTTTACGGGTCCATCATGAAGAGGGCAGGAGAGTTCAGATTATCAACTTCCTGTTTTGAAACGCAGTACTTGTCCCTTTACAGGAGGAATACCATCACATCAGCAGGGTCATCTTTAAAGTCTGATCAGATTGAAAGTTGACATGTTCTGAATCACTACTGTTATAATCTACAGATACTACTGACTGACTGAGTTTAGTTTTACGCCGCTTTTAGCAATATTCCAGCAATATCACGGCGGGGGACACCAGAAATGGGCTTAACACATTGTGCCCATGTGGGGAATCGAACCCGGGCCTTCGGCGTGACGAGCCAACGCTGTAACCACTAGGCTACCCCACCGCCCCTACAGATACTACCATTGGTGCATCTGTATTAAGTTAGTAAGTTCAGAAGATTTAGGTGTTACTGTATAGGCAATGACGAGCTGAGTTTACAAAAAGAAACAGAACATGGATGATAATAAACAGACATTAAGCAACATTCCAGCAATATCACTCCAAGGGGAACAGGAATCACACATGGGCGTCACACATTGATGCAATAGACATCTGGAGATATGGACGGTTGATTAAAGGCAAATCAACTTCACATAGGTATCACTGAGTTTATTTGGGTACATACAACATTCTATAGTCATACATATCTCATTACAATGTCGCCATCGCAGGTCATAGCCACGTTTCCTTTACAATAATAAACACCGTTGATATCTATAGAACGGTATTATACCACTTGATTACCTTCTTTAACACTACCACAGTACTACAGTAAAGTGAATAGAACAAAGATTTTTGGACTGTGTCTGGTCCGACTTCTTGGAGAGTGTTTACGTCAATAGTACTGTATGACATCCACTAAGATGTCATTTCATGATGTCATACGGATACGTTGGTTAAAGTTAGGGTAATGCCGCATGTTTCCCTACATTGTCAATATTGTCCTTAGTTTATTACATAAGTTCATTACTCGTGTTCTGATTCTTCAAATAACCGTTTCATACAACTGTTTGACACGCACGAACGCACAGACACGCACATAGACACAGAGACAGACACACACGCATAGAGACACACATACAGAGACACACACACAGACAGACACACACAGACAGACACGCACATAGACACAGAGACAGACACGCACGTATAGAGACACACATACAGAGACACACACACAGACAGACACGCATAGACACAAACACAGGCAGACAGACACACACACACACACACACAAACGCACTCACACATACCTACCTACCGACCTACTTACGTAAGTACGTGCGTAAGTACGTAACATAACATACATGCATACATACATACACACACACACACATACGCATTGATAATTTTAGAATACAATTTTAATTACATCACATTTCTTTCTTTGATCGTTGGATTGTTTTGATAGAACAAACAATTGCAACTAGGTTTACAAATAACACACTTCACTACACATGCAGGTATCAGAATGGAAGTAACAGGTAGAGTGTCAGTACAGATACAAAGGCAGTGTGATACCATAGAGTCCTAGTAGAAATACAAGTAAACATGGTCATAAGCACCTCAGAGCCAAAATGGAGGAGTTTCCACAATAGGCTTAGTACCATTGCCATATAACAATTTGAAAATACAAAACGAGATTTTTGCATCAAATGGCTTTACTGTCACAGTATCATCAGAATGTTTGCAATTAGTGAGTCTTTCGTTTCTAAATGCGTGCGCATTGAGTGAGCGATAAGTGATATTTTAAGCACTAGAAGTGTATTTCTGTTTGGACGAGCTGATTGAAAGGAAGGGGATGGACATTAGAAATATGTTCATAACTGTTTCATGATGTGATTTAAAAGAAACAACGTTTCAAATTAATATGCAAATAACAGAAGCACAAAACTGTATCATGAAGCAGAATATGAATTTGAATATTAGTATGCAACATTGTGTTTGACAATAAGTTAAAAACACCAAAACAAACTAAAGCACAGTGAGCTACAATGTTATCGATAACCACTTCTGACTTCAGGCATGACAAGGCTTCAGTGCACCCTCTACCAGCGTCATCAATCTGACGTGGCTACAAACAAACATAAACTCCACATATTGATAGTGCGAATTGGAAAGTAGTTTCACAGTTAACTGGCACTATCGGGAGGAAAATCGAAAAGTTTGCGAAAAGAAATATATGTCATTACCATTCTTTCTACGTACTAACAAAACATATGTTCACGTGATCTGCAAGATAATACAATTCAACTGACCGATGATACAATAAACGAGCGAGTTGCACTCAGTGTTACATGCATTGTCATGACACATTTCCCCTTACCGCCAGTTTCTCTCAACAGGTCGACTTCCAAGAACGCCGGCTATGAGTAGGGATGTAGTTTGGGGAAGAGATCGCCCAGTATATTAGATAGATATATCGGGACACATGTCGCAAACACAGGAGGGTTCTGGTGTACAAAAGCAGGTATGTACAGAAAGTGTCATAACCTTCGCACAGTCAAACACCGTTAAGACCAACCTGTAGGGAACTGCGCAAATTCTTTAAGTTGTCCGACGTTCGACATAACCGAAAATGATTACTAAATTAAGAAAACGCAATGACCAATCCTTTACTTTGAAACAACAGTAAGTTCCACATATCAAATAAAAGTTCCACTCACCGGTGTTTGACTGACTGTCTTAGTTTCTGTAGGCATCTTTTCGACGTTACTTGTACAGTATCTCGTGACCTAATGACGCTATGGTTGTGAAACGATGATCTGATCACGCTATGGTTGTGAAACGATGATCCGATGACGCAATGATTGTGAAACGATGACCTGATGACGCTATGATTGTGAAACGATGATCCGATGACGCTATGATTGTGAAACGATGATCTGATGACGCTATGGTTGTGAAACGATGATCTGATGACGCTTTGGTTTTGAAACGATGACCTGATGACGCTATGGTTCTGAAACGATGATCTGATGACGCTATGATTGTGAAACGATGACCTGATGACGCTATGGTTGTGAAACGATGATCTGATGACGCTTTGGTTTTGAAACGATGACCTGATGACGCTATGGTTGTGAAACGATGATCTGATGACGCTTTGGTTTTGAAACGATGACCTGATGATGCTATGGTTTTGAAACGATGACCTGGGGATCTGGTGACTGAGATTACTGTGCTTTGTTAGTGAGTGAGTGAGTGATTATGTTTAGTTTTACGCCGCTTTTAGCAATATTCCCGTAATATCACGGCGGGGGACACTAGAAATGGGCTTCACACATTGTACCAATGTGAGGAATTGAACCCGGGTGTTCGGCGTGACGAGCGAACGCTTTAACCACTAGGCTACCCCACCACCCCGGCAAGGAAAGTATTCACCTGCAAAAATATATGATCTCATGTAGCAAGTCGAACAAGGGATTGAATCAGACATCAGTTTTGGGACTGATGCTTCACGAAGGGCTATTAACGTTCCACCAGAGCCTGGATTGATGAGAAAGAGGTCTTCTTGTTGGAAGCTATATCAATTCTTCGCATACGGGGCTTTCTATATTATTTACAGACCGACCCAATATAGCTGGAATATTGCTGAGTGCGGCGTAAAAACTAAACTCACTCACACAGTGAGAATTCTTTAAGATAATGGAGCCGTGGCCTTTGAGTTACAAGGATATTACCTTACTTAAACTATATTCAAAGCATTGATAATTTTAAAAGCCAAATGCAATGCAAAGGGTGTGATGTTGAATTTGTTCACTCTGTAAACTTACATTTGTACACATTTGAAACTGATAAGCAACGCTCCATTCCTGAAGAAAACTGGAGCGAGCAGACACTGGAATGACGTCACAATACTAAATCATTGTATCTCGTTGTCATGACATCATATGTTGTCCACATCACTTAGTATCACCGGCTCGGGTAACACTGCTACAAAGAGGCGAACATCAGACCGCATACAACTTATAGTATCTCATTCTCACGGTATGCATGTCGTTCTGAAACTTATAGTATCATGTGCACAGTTTCCTGTTTCATAAATTGTTCATGCTCCGACAACACTGCACAAGCTCACATGACACTGTCGTCCGTTCATTGATCATTTCCACAACTGTTCATAAAACACTGACATGTTGGTAACTCGTCCCGCCAGTATCAGTCAGGGATTGCCTACCCTTGTGATGAAACTACAGAACTGTTCAAACTGATGTTTAAACAAATCAGTAAACTGTCTCCATAACGTTCCTATATTTCATTTGCATGACAGTGTATCTTGTTCGCATGACAATGTATCTCGTTCGCATGACAATGTATCTCGTTCGCATGATAATATATCTCATTCGTATGACAACGTATCTCGTTCGCATAACAATTTATCTCGCTCGCATGACAATGTATCCCGTTCACATGACAATGTATCCCGTTCACACGACAATGTAATTCGTTCGCATGACAATTTAGGTTACTCGTCACCACAACAACGCATTTCGTTGCAGAGAGTGTTCAAAGTTGTAATTTGAGAGGTGCTTGTCACACACACACACACACAAAGAAAGTCGAATCCTTTGTAACAATATCTGTCTCTATAATGCGTCGGGTGTCATAACTTACGACATTGTCTCTCCGTACAGCTGAGTATATTTAGAGAAGCATTATAAGCTGCTGTGTATTCGTGTTCGACTCGTGTATTGTACAATGTTTTGTTTGTCTTGAAAACAGCAGCATATCCGCTAAAACCGTACCATCTATGTCACTAAGACATGGATTGTTGCATGAAGGGTTCTCTGGGGACACGGCCTACAAATTCGATGTCATCTTTATTGATCAAACTGTGTATGTAAAAATCGAACTCTGTTGTTTCAACATTAGGTGATCCATGACCGATCAATGGGAGATCAGATGGAGCTATGTCTCTTATTACAGCTATTAGTTTGTTTATCCCAGATGACACCACCGGATAAGTAGGACGCACATTGTTTAAACCATGACACATGTGTCAAAGCTAGGTCGTTTTAATCCTGGGGAAGATTGTTTTCCACGAAAGGTATTCATGGTGAACTCGGGTGGGATTAAGTATGGTGTACTGTAAAGACCATAAATCTACCTTGCAGAAACGAATAAATGTCGACCTGTAAAAACTGCAAGCCTGTTCATTGTGAATGGTGGTTATTACTTGAGCCGCATTGCCAAACGTCAGCTATTCACAGGGAAATGTGATATAACTGTGTTTAGCTGAACGATGGCCCTTAATGATAGCCATACATGCAATATTTGTCTATAAATATTTTAGGGCTCTTATCAAGACTACATATCCATGTTGTTAGGTTACACAGCGTTATCTGCCCTTCTCAAGGTATGTTCATTGCAATTTATGTCTATATTTCTCAAATAATTGTTGGCTCTGAACAACTTCTATGATTGGCATTCTAGAAGTTGAGGATTTGAAGAATGAGGACGATTTGTTTATGGATATCCAACTTCTTTATTCTGTAACAAGGTCTGAACGTGAACATCCTGTAACAAGGTCTGAACGTGAAAATCCTGTAACAAGGTCTGAACGTGAACATCCTGTAACAAGGTCTGAGTGTGAACATCCTGTAATAAGGTCTGAACGTGAACATCCTGTAATAAGGTCTGAACGTGAACATCCTGTAACAAGGTCTGAACGTGAACTTCCTGTAACAAGGTCTGAGCGTGAACATCCTGTAACAATGTCTGAGCGTGAACATCCTGTAACAAGGTCTGAACGTGAACACCTTGTAACAAGGTCTGAACGTGAACATCCTGTAACAAGGTCTGAACGTGAACATCCTCTTTTAAAACGAGATTTGCGTCTTATTGTTTCATTTGCAAACTTTACACGCCAAACACAATCCTGATGCCCTCCAACTATGCATGCTATCCGTTTACATGTATCCCTTCTACTGAGATCAAATGTAAACAGTAGGGGCATATATGCTTAATTTGTTTAAGAAACCTTAAAAACACAGCCTTATGCAAATCACGTAAAAATGTTCTCAAATGCATTCATATTTAGGTGAAATGCATCTTTTTCAGAAGAGTTATATTGTCCTATTTTCGTCCATGCCTAAATAAACCAATAACAGTGATTTTGATGTCCAAAAGAAAGGTTCAAATTAAATTCTGCTTGTGACCATGATAAACCATTTCAAGTCACCTTTTTTCAACTATTAAAACAAGAAACAACTGTTGTAGAGTGTGTAAAATTGTAAAAGAACCATTCCTAAGATTTCAGTCTTTTAAAACATTTTATGCTGATCTGCATTAGTGAAAACAAGTAAAACGTGTCTTCGATATTGTGAACAAATGTTTAGGAACATCTAAAATTATCTTTGTTAACATTGTTGCTTGCAAAGTAACATTTTTCCATTTTCTGTTTACACATAGGAATATCAATCGCCAAAATGCACCATTTCACATGTAGAATGATTCTTTAGGGTATGAAGAGAGCCTAGAATACATGATATGATACACAAGTACGAGAAATATGCCACGATTAACAGCTGAAGAGAGAGAAAGAGCCATTGGGATGGTGTAGATGGGGTCGACATAAAATGATGTTGTCAACGCCCTCGGATGCCACCGTAGCACGGTTATAAGACTTATTCAGGGCTTCAGACAGACTGGGGTCACCGTAGACAGACCAAGAAGTGGATGTCCACACATCACAACGCCAGCTGAAGATAGGTACCTCCGTCATTAAGACAGGAGGGTAACGTTTCTTTTGGCGTTTAGTGTATTGGGAACTATATTATTGCGGAGTGAACTGGTCTTGAGATGTTCGTTACAAACTATGAACTATAAATTTGTGACGTAAGCAAACCCTTCTATATAAGCAGTTTATAGCTGTGACAATGGAAAGATACTAATTTCCAAGGTGAAATGATATTTCGACTGTTATATTTCAGATGTCTCACAGAAAGGACAGTATGATTAGTGCTTTCGTCCTGCTTATGATGGCCACTGGGGCGAGAGCAATTGAGTGTGGTAAAGATGATAACCCCTGCAAGATCCAGCTGGTGGTTGACCCCCGACTGACCATGATGGACGGGTCAAGGCGAGTCATGCCTTCAAATGGAGGCCTTCGCTACTATAATGAAACAGTACCTATTCTGGATACATCTGTATTGGACAGGGTTCTTACAGCTGACGGCGTCTATGCCCGCCTGGTCATCAGCGTCAACGGACAGTTCCCTGGTCCAGAGCTCATCATGTATGAAGACCAGAATGTTGAGGTGTCTGTAACCAATGAGCTGCACACAGACAGTGTCACGGTTCACTTCCATGGCATACACCAGCGGAACACACCCTGGATGGACGGCGTCGCCTACATCACCCAGTGCCCCATCCTGCCCGGGGCTACGTTCACCTACAAGTTCAAGGCTTCACCAGCTGGTACCCACTGGTATCATTCTCACATTGGAGACCAGAGAAGCATGGGGCTCTATGGTCCTCTGATTGTCAAGAAGCGAGAGTCGCCACCAAATATCATCGACAAACACATCATCATTATTCAGGACTGGAACCACGACATGGACCCAGAAACAGCGTATCAGAAAATGATATATGGCATCTATAACTGTGATGAGAAATCTACAAAGTGTGAAAGATATCAAGAGACAGGCACTATTGATGGAGCGTTGTTTAGCCGATTTGAACTGCACACTGGACTCATCAATGGAAGAGGAAGATACCATTACGGGCCACGTCTGCAGGATCACAATGGCGCACCTCTTACAAGATTTGAAGTGGATGCAAATATGACATATCGCTTAAGAGTGATCAGTGCTACAACTCTCTACCCCTTCCGAGTGTATGTGGCTGGTCACCCTATCACTATAATTGCTTCTGATGGAAGAGATCTGAAACCAATTCCTGTGGACTCCTTTGTTATTCAGAGTGGTGAGCGGTACGACTTCTACTTAGAAACTAATCAACAAGTAGGAGATTACATGATTGTGGCCGAGTCGTTAGAGGTGAACAAAAACAGTATGCATATCGCAGAGGCTATTCTTCGTTATTCACGTCCTGCAGATGACTCCACTAACAATAAACTGGTATCAAGTGAGAGAACATGCAGTAAGTTACAGCCATGTCTAATATTTAACTGCCCATACCGATACTACCCTGCAAATCAGTACCGTAACTGCTCTACATACAATTTCGCTTCTGGAATTGAGGACGATAAGGACAGAGATGAAATCTTGAAGGAGAAACAGATCAAACAGTTCTTCCTGAACTTCGCCTTTCCCGGAGAAGCAGGCAACACTCCTGGGTCTGTCAATGGGCGACAGTTTGTGTCGCCTAAGGTATCAGCTTTGACTCAACCTTCACAGGTCCATGCTGCATGTTCCGACCTGGGTGACAAATGTGGAGCTGACAAGATATGTAGCTGTACATACACTATAGATATCAGCGAAGGTGACATTGTGGAGTTGATCCTCTTCAATATGGGGAAGGGCAGAGGTTGGTCTCATCCTGTTCACATCCACGGCCATTCAGTATACGTCTTGGCGTACGGGTTCCCCCAGTATGATACAGCAACCGGCATGATTCGAGAGGATAGTGATGACATAGAGTGCGAGGACGACTACTGCAATGTTGCTAAATGGAGAGGAAGACAGAAGCGGCAAACAAACGTTCAACGAAACTCAACAAAGCGGATCCCTCCTCTGAAAGACACATTGATTGTTCCAAGTGGAGGCTATGTCATTACACGGTTCAAGGCCGACAACCCCGGGGTCTGGTTCCTCCACTGCCATATTGACCTGCACAACACCAATGGAATGGCGATGGCAATCAATGAATCCTTCTCCAAACATCCAAAACCTCCAGCAGGATTCCCGGTCTGTGGGGATTACACAGATTTCAAACTACCACCAGTGTCCGGCGCTGAAGGTAGATATATCCAAATGTCTTCTCAATGCTCTCTCCAAACATATATAATCTTATCATCAATCTCAACATCGTCCTGATTATAATCAGTATAATTGATTTTAGCTTTATTTGTGTTTTTTCGTAGGAAATTGAACACACTGTGCCTTGTTTCATAATATTTTTTACTAAGACAAAATAACAACGCCAAATGAATAAATTCCAAAACGAGATCCTCCCAATCATCTTAGGCCGGATATCACGCACAGAGATTGGCTTGCAATCAGAATGCATACTGATCCGTTGGTGGGGGCAATAATGTCATGCGCTTTAATAATATCCTGCCATGGTTTGGAGACTCCAAGACGCCTCTGTCATGTTTTCCGGTACACAGTAGGAAAGATAATACAGTGACCTTCAGGCATGGGGAATTCGGGACCTTACAATGTCCTCAGACACAACTTCTTTTATTTTAGGAACACGTTTCGGGGTATATAATTACTCCTATCAGTGTTAATTAACGGTTAAGTGTTGGCTTCCATTTATCCTTTGCCAGTCACCTATCAGCGCCTCTTACCTGCCCTTGTTGAGCCTCCACCTGTGTTGTATCAGTACTTTTGTTGTTCTTACCTGTACATATATATGTTCTCTGCTCCATGGAATTCCCTAATACACAGTATGTATTGCCACGCATGTTATTTACATGCACTCTGGGGAGGTGGGGTGGCCTAGTGGTTAAAGCGTTGGCTCGTCACGGAAAAGACCCAGGTTCGAATCCCCACATGGGTACAATGTATGAAGCCCATTTCTGATGTCCCTCGCCGTGATGTTGCTGGAATATTGCTAAAAGCGGCGTAAAACCAAACTCAGTCAGTCAGTACATGCACTCTATCAGATAATTAAAATGGTAGCACTGAGGATATTTTCACGCAGCGATAATTATGATCTTCGCACTTTCAGATGATTTGAATAATAGTGCTTTTTATTACAGGCCCGCTTCTTTCCCTCGAGACGGTCCTTGTGCTGGTCCTGATGGGAGCTGACAAGTTGATGCCATGGAGTTACTGATACCATTATCATCATCAACAGATTTTTACAGATTTCCATGTCAAATATTCAAGGCATTATTAGTTATTACATAAACAATCACGATTTTACCAACAAAAGTCATGTCACACCCAAGGTACCATCTATATGGATATTTTGTTAAACATTTGTACATTTTTTCCACAAAGATATATCATGATAATCTATATGTTCATGTATCTACTTGTTTCGCAAGTACCAAGGCACAGTGGTGGACAACAGTCACCAAAAGTATATTGTCTCAGACAAAGTGTCGAAGTAAAGTCACGCACGACTAGTGCACAAGATATAGAGGATACTAACCTCGCTTCCGTTTAATACCATTTTTATTAAACGAGTGAATGATTTGGTATCAAACGAGCGAAAACGATGATACTAAATCTTTCAAGAGTTTAATAAAACTGGTATAAGCAAGTTTAGTATTCTGTTTATTACTCTCCAACATAAATTGATAGAAACTACCTACTAACAGTGTGATGACTTTCAGCTTTCCGCGAGTCATCAAGGTCTAATACGATTGTGACAGAGGTATTAGCATTGTGACGTCATAACTGTAAACCATTATGACGTCAACTGTCTAGCGGTATTACAATAGTGTAATATTGACGTAAAAATATTACACTGCAGTATCTTCCACGGAAGAGTAATAAAATAAGTTGTATGCTTCTCTTGAGGGTAATACGGTCTGATGTACGCCTCTTTGTAGCAGTGTGTTATTTGCACAGCTATTTTCGTTTCACGACAAAAGGAAATTGTCCCTGGGGCTAGTTCAAGATCGGGTCCTCTTTCACACTGACATTCTATACTGACTATGATCATTATCAAAACATTGCTACTCATAACATGTATCGACTTTGTTTTGCAAATCGCGTGCATGTGGGTACTCGTTTTTTTGAGGTTGTATCTTCATGAGAAGTTTTTTGTACTGAACTGTTTTTATATATTCCATATTCCCATACATTTGTTTGTTTGTTTGTTCGCCACACTCAGCATTATTACAGCTATATGTCGACAGTCTGTAATTTATCTAGTCTGGACCAGACAATCTAGTGACCAACAGCATGGGCATCAATCTACGCAATTGGGATACGACGATGTGTGTCAACCAAGTGAGCGAGTCTAACCACCCAATCCCATCAGTTGTCACTTACGACAACAGAGATTACTGAAGACCAATTCTAACCCGGATCTGCACCGCTCTCCCACATTAGATAAGCATACAAGTTGATCCAGGTAAACTAGTCGTACGAGTTCTGTCATTGTCTGCAGCAGTGCATGTGTGCTCGGTATGCAGTGAAGGAGACGCATCGCTGATCATTACGCCGTGTAGACACTGAACACACTGAGGTTAGAACAGGCTGTTATATCTATTCCTAACAAAGGCACTGTGACCTGGTTGTCATTAGTTACCGGCAGAGCGTGGGATTTCACAAACTGCTTCACATGTAATAAACTAATTATATGTATTGATTATTACCTTGTCAAATACTTGATCTAGATAGAGTAGTTGATAAGGGAAATAGAAATTATATACATATACAGCTTCTAATGCCTCTCTCTCTCTCTCTCTCTCTCTCTCTCTCTCTCTCTCTCTCTCTCTCTCTCTCTCTCTCTCTCTCTCTCTCTCTCTCTCTCTCTCTCTCTCTCTCTCTCTCTCTCTCTCATGCGTGAACATGTTAAATCTGTAGTTATCACTGTGAGAGACAGTAAATGACGGGACATTTTATTGGGCATTCGTTGATTTTAAACAATCATGTGACATATTGATGGAGATGTTGAAGTTCTATTTAGTTCCGAATTAAGTATGTGTGCCTTTGAGATACGAGAAATCTTTCGCAGTTAGAAACATGAACCAGCTGATGTAGTTCTGTTGTGTTTCTGTTTACTTCTGTCCACAAGATAGCGTCAATGCCAGTATTTTGTATGGCCATCATTGGCAGCAATTACTGCTCGGCACCGTCTCGGCACAGACTGGATAAGCCGACGAAGCGCTCTTGGGGAACTCTTCCCCACTCCTCCTGCAATCCGATGTCCAGTCGTAGAGTTGTGTCTGAGGCGTGTTTTGACGTTGACGTGCACGTAGATCGAGTTCATCCCATAGGTGTTCTATCTGGCTTAGATCTGGTGATCGGGAAGGCCATGGCAAGACAATGACGTTAGAATCGTGCTGTATGTGAAGTAGCGTTGTCATACTTTAAGAACTCTCTTTGTCGGTCCATAATCGGAAGCATGTGACGTGCCAGGACTTCGTTGATGTGCCGATTTGCTGTCAAATTCCCGTGAACCACCACTAAATCAGATCTTTGTGGATATCGAACCCCACACCATGACACTGCCTCATTTACTGGCAAAACATTACACACGCTGCTGTCTTCGTCTCGCTGGTGAAGAAGAAATCGTGATTCATCAAGCAATTGCACCGATGGAAGTCTCTCCAAATAGGGGTGACAACTGGAATTCTTAGTCGAAACCCCACTTCACGCAATCGAGTCCGGACAGTTTGGTAGGAAATCCTTCTCAAACCAGGAATGCGTTGTGCAGTCTCCACGGCTGTGGCCAGACGAGTACGCAAGTGAGCAACGCGGATGTAACGGTCCTGGGAGTGGGTGGTAACTCCTGGACGGCCGTTTCTCGGGCGATCTTGGGCGGAATTAGTGTGCAGGAAACGATCCCAACGGAGAGATAAGGTGCTCTGATGAACGTTGAAATGTCGGGCAACTGCAGACTGCGACTCCCCAGCTTCAAGGCGGCCTATGGTGATGTTTCGATCGGGGCACTCAGTCGTTCTCTTTTCCAGGCAAAAACGAATGGCAAAATTAAACACAACGTTTGCCTTTTTAAAGTAATCGATGCCACATGCTTTTCCGCTTACTTGTACGCCAATTTTGCTTTGCATGTTTTCTTAGTGACGTTTTGGTGACTATTTCTTCAAGGTGAAAAGTTTAAATTGCCGCGTTTTCTCAAAATCACTTTCTTTCTTTCTTTTGAGGAGTGTATATACTTTGGTTTAAAGGTCATTCCAAAATTAGTCCAAGAAATGTAATATACTTTCGGAAACATAGTACCAGTTCATACATGATAGAGAAATATGGGGATTTTATTTAAGAGAAAGTGTGAAAGGGTTCATAGAAAACATTTAACTATATTTAAATGTTTACCTGTGCATTATTTGATGTTATGCCATTTTTTAATGCAAAGAGTTAATAACATGATTTCTGAAGTTTTCCTTAATCACTGTTTAACTGTTGACAGGATACTCTTGAAAACTGTATGATTTGACACTAGGCATCGTAACACGCACTTGGGGAAATGTGGTGTCAAAGGTCAGTTCAAAATTCAGTATCGTGTGTGTCCACCATTGGCGTTGATGCAGGCTTGACAACGACGACGCATAGACGACTAAGAAAGCTTGGGGAATGTTGTTCCATGTCTGAACCAACAGGGGGCGGTGGGGTAGCCTAGTGGTTAAAGCGTTGGCTCGTCAGGGCAAAGACCCGGGTTCGATTCCCCACATGGGTACAATGTGTGAAGCCCATTTCTGGTGTCCCCCGCCGTGATATTGCTGGAATATTGCTAAAAGCGGCGTAAAACCATACTCACTCACTCGGTCACTGAACCAACGATTGTCCTAGTTCAGCTGATGTCAATGGCTGATTCTGGGCTTGACGTAAACGTCGCTCCATTTCATCCCATCCGGAGAAACAGCTGGCAAGGGCAGTAGCGGAATGTTCTGCTGTCTCAGGAAATTTGTCACAACATGAGTGATATTATCTTGCTGAAGCGTGACGTTACGTCCCTGTCTTTAAAGGAGGCCCAATGATCTCACCCCTGTATAGCAGACCTGTCACATTGCCATTGGCAATGACCACGAGATCTGATGCCTCCCCATACCATAACGATATTGCCGCCAAACTGTCGACGTTGAACAGCGCATACCGTTCGCCTCGCCGTCTGTAAACCCTTACCCTGCCATCGGAGCTGTCCAGATGAAATTTCGACTCGTCGGTGAAAAAAACACCATCCCGGTCGTGTCTCCTGTACCGTAGATGCTGTCTGTACCAAGAACGACGTGCCTGTCGGTGATGTTGGCGCAAAATTGGACCTTTTACAGGCCGTTGAGGCCGGATGTTGTGCTCCCTCTATCGGTTCCGTATAGTCGTGAAACTGATTTGACGCAAGCCAAGAATGGTCCAAATTCACACGTCCTAAGTGTGAACAATGTTTTCACAAAAGAACACGTGACTTCCGGTGTGTTTTGTAAACTGTTACACCCGGAAACCCTTCTGGCGCGTTTTGTCGACTAAAACCTCATGATCAAGTGACGTTATAACAAAGGACAGAGACAAGTGATGGACGCCGTTTCCTTCTTCTTTCGGATGGAGAACATGACAAGATTCTGTTGTTCTCTACCACTGAACGGTTCTAGATATAGATAAAATATTTCTATGAAAAATATCTATCTACTGGAAGCTACTGTGCTACCATTATACATTGTTATTTGAAAAATATGTCATTTCTATTATCAAATAAATATATATTTGGCATTAGATATTTTTCGTGTGATTTCATTTGGACTATTCCATTATAATGGTTTAAGTGGTCCGCGAACTGCCTGTGTGCGTGGGGGGATACCATAATGACTGACTGAGGCAGTGTTCGTGGGGGGATACCATAATGACTGACTGAGGCAGTGTGCGTGGGGGGATACCATAATGACTGACTGAGGCAGTGTGCGTGGGGGGATACCATAATGACTGACTGAGGCAGTGTGCGTGGGGGGATACCATAATGACTGCCTGAGGCAGTGTGCGTGGGGGGATACCATAATGACTGATTGAGGCACAGCTGAACTTATCATCTGAGTCATAGTGGTAGAGACTGATGGAAACACAGTTGTACTCACACATTAAGGCAAATGTACTTAATGTCAGCACCACAGTTGTACTCACAGATTAAGGCAAATGTACTTAATGTCAGCACAACAGTTGTACTCACAGATTATGGCAAATGTACTTAATGTCAGCACCACAGTTGTACTCACACATTAAGGCAAATGTACTTAATGTCAGCACCACAGTTGTACTCACACATTAAGGCAAATGTACTTAATGTCAGCACCACAGTTGTACTCACACATTAAGGCAAATGTAATTAATGTCAGCACCACAGTTGTACTCACACATTAAGGCAAATGTACTTAATGTCAGCACAACAGTTGTACTCACACATTAAGGCAAATGTACTTAATGTCAGCACCACAGTTGTACTCACACAATAAGGCAAATGTAATTAATGTCAGCACCACAGTTGTACTCACACATTATGGCAAATGTACTTAATGTCAGCACAACAGTTGTACTCACAGATTATGGCAAATGTACTTAATGTCAGCACCACAGTTGTACTCACACATTAAGGCAAATGTAATTAATGTCAGCACCACAGTTGCAAATGTAATTAATGTCAGCACCACAGTTGTACTCACACATTTGGCAAATGTACTTAATGTCAGCACCACAGTTGTACTCACACATTAAGGCAAATATACTTTATGTCAGCACAACAGTTGTACTCACACATTAAGGCAAATGTACTTAATGTCAGCACCACAGTTGTACTCACACATTAAGGCAAATATACTTTATGTCAGCACCACAGTTGTACTCACACATTAAGGCAAATGTACTTAATGTCAGCACCACAGTTGTACTCACACATTAAGGCAAATGTACTTAATGTCAGCACCACAGTTGTACTCACACATTAAGGCAAATGTACTTAATGTCAGCACCACAGTTGTACTCACACATTAAGGCAAATGTACTTAATGTCAGCACCACAGTTGTACTCACAGATTAAGGCAAATGTACTTAATGTCAGCATCACAGTTGTACTCACACATTAAGGCAAATGTACTTAATGTCAGCACCACAGTTGTACTCACAGATTAAGGCAAATGTACTTAATGTCAGCATCACAGTTGTACTCACACATTAAGGCAAATGTACTTAATGTCAGCACCACAGTTGTACTCACACATTAAGGCAAATGTACTTAATGTCAGCATCACAGTTGTACTCACACATTAAGGCAAATGTACTTAATGTCAGCACCACAGTTGTACTCACACATTAAGGCAAATGTACTTAATGTCAGCATCACAGTTGTACTCACACATTAAGGCAAATGTACTTAATGTCAGCACCACAGTTGTACTCACACATTAAGGCAAATGTACTTAATGTCAGCACTCACAGTTACTTACTCACACATTAAGGCACAAATGTGCTTAATGTCAGCAGCACACAGTTGTACTCACACATTAAGACAAATGTACTTAATGTCAGCACCACAGTTGTACTCACACATTAAGGCAAATATACTTTATGTCAGCATCACAGTTGTACTCACACATTAAGGCAAATGTACTTAATGTCAGCACCACAGTTGTACTCACACATTAAGGCAAATGTACTTAATGTCAGCACCACAGTTGTACTCACATATTAAGGCAAATGTACTTAATGTCAGCACCTCAGTTGTACTCACACATTAAGGCAAATGTACTTAATGTCAGCACCACAGTTGTACTCACATATTAAGGCAAATGTACTTAATGTCAGCACCAGAGTTGTACTCACATATTAAGGCAAATGTACTTAATGTCAGCACCACAGTTGTACTCACATATTAAGGCAAATGTACTTAATGTCAGCATCACAGTTGTACTCACACATTAAGGCAAATGTACTTAATGTCAGCACCTCAGTTGTACTCACAGATGAAATCAAAGGACATCAAAATGTGTTAATGTGTCAGATATTTATTCAAAGACATGATTAGAATTTATAAAATTATAAAATAACTATAAATTAAATCAAGATAATCAGGATTCTGCTCATGTGCTTTGCTCTCAAATGCACACAAACCTAAAACCAATAAAACAAATATACATAACAAATTAACTAAAACAACATCAATGGACTTATAAATAAGGGAACCAAACACCATGCACTCTCCCTGTCAGCACACAAGCAGTACAGTGGGTACAATTGTCATATTGTCCATTTTCATTTACACCATTCGTCTTGTTACATTCAAGTTTTACTGTCTCCATCTCTTATTCATAATGTAGCTAATCATTCACACGGTCACACTAGCTGCAATCTGTCACAGGGACATTATTATCCTGTGTATAATGTGCAAAAGTAGTTGAAGAACATTAGATTATGACTACAGTTAAGTTTTTCCCAAACAAGCATTTTGAAACTATTCTCGAGCTTAAAAGGAAGTCCATCTTTGTGGGAACAAAATGCCAATGAATCAATGCATGAAATTGTAGCAAAAAAAATATTAATCATCATTTTTACCAACTATCCAATTTATGTGATGTCGATATTTTAGTGTATATTAATTGCTCAAAAAGCTAAACTGTTCATTTAGTTAACATCTTATCTAAATAATATTCATATAAAATAGAAAAGGTCATCTTAAACCTGTTAACTAGCCTAGGTCACATCACGCAACCATATTGTAGTCATATATTCAACTTCCAGCTACCACTCATTTGAGCATTCACTGCTTCAAAAAAATGTTGTCATACATTCAACAAACAGTTGTCATATATTCAACATACAAGTCCTTTATTCAACAAACAGTTGTCATACATTCAACAAACAAGTTCTTTATTCAACAAACTGTTGTCATGCATTCAACATACAAGTCCTTTATTCAACAAACAGCTGTCATACATTCAACATACAAGTTCTTTATTCAACAAACAGTTGTCATACATTCAACATACAAGTCCTTTATTCAACAAACAGTTGTCATACATTCAACATACAAGTCCTTTATTCAACAAACAGTTGTCATACATTCAACATACAAGTCCTTTATTCAACAAACAGTTGTCATATAATCAACATATGACAATTCAATATGGAGGGGCCATTTCTTAAATTGACAGCTGTCCTACATTCAACAAACAATTGTAATTCCTTCAACATGGAGCAGTCATGCTTTTAACATACAGCTCTCATACAAGCAACACAAAGGCGTGTACATTGTAATAGCCGTGGAGCCTAGAAGAGAGCGTATATTAAATAACTCAGACACTTAAAGAAGTCATAACATCACATTAAATGTGCATCAATGACAACCGAGGTGAAAATCACAAGCATCACCCTGTAGCCAGCCCCACAAACAAACAGCCAAGTGAAAGTCACTCATATCACATGGGTAGATGAGAGCCTCCACACACACTCACAAACCCCACCCCACACACAAACAGCCAAGTGAAAGTCACTCATATCACAAAGGTAGATGAGAGCCTCCACACACACTCACAAACCCCACCACACACACAAACAGCTGAAGTGAAAGTCTCAACAACACCCTGGAGGTAGCGGAGAACGTCCACAAACCCCACCACACACACAAACAGCTGAAGTGAAAGTCTCAACGACACCCTGTAGGTAGCGGAGAACGTCCACAAACCCCACCACACACACAAACAGCTGAAGTGAAAGTCTCAACGACACCCTGTAGGTAGCGGAGAACGTCCACAAACCCTACCCCACACACAAACAGCTGAAGTGAAGTCTCAAGAACACCCTGGAGGTAGCGGAGAATGTCCACAAACCCCACCCCACACACAAACAGCTGAAGTGAAAGTCTCAACAACACCCTGGAGGTAGCGGAGAACGTCCACAAACCCTACCCCATGGATGTTATTCCAGCAATATCATGGCGGGGGACACCAGATATGGGCTCCACACATTGTACCCAGGTGGGGAATCGAACCCAGGTCTTTGGCATGACGAGCGAACACTTAAATCTCTCTCTCTTACACACACACGCACACACACACACACGAAAGAAATGAACAAACGAAACAGACAGTGATCAGTCAACATCAGATAGGAAGTAAGAAGGGAATATATGTACCGAGATGTATTACTTTAACATTCATGACTTTAGCACTCAAAATCGTATAGCTACTACAATAGTAAACACGTTGTGCAGATGTCGGCTAGGGCTGCAATGATTCAACCAGACCTCGATTCGATTCGATTTTCGATATTGGACCCTTGATTCGATCATTTTTTATTCGATTCTTCATACATGTAAAAACATCAGATTTCATTTAACTCTCAATCTTGGCTTTTTCAGCATGAAATCCATCATGAACTTGGCGATGTCTACTAACAACAATTCACATTGGATAATTTGCCCAGTGTCAACCAATCACGTTTCGTCTTATTTCAGCGCTGGAAACTGCTCAAGTTGGGAGTCAAAATTACGTTCTGGCTGTGTGGAAATAATTTAAATAGGTATTCAAATATCAAATAATGGTTATCAAAAATCAAAAGTAAGGTGTCAGATTCGATTTTCGATTAATCGAACCGAATCGCAGCAGCCCTGATGTCAGTATATACAGTCACAGCAACAATAATCACAGAAGCTAGTAATAATCCCATCCCCTAGCAACTCCAAAACAACAAATATGGTATAAAACTAAACTCTTATAATATATGTCTAAATATGTATATCATCTTGTAACAAAGTTTAATATTGATACAATATTTCTGAAACAGCTTGTGCAATGTGAAAACAATCATGTCATTGATCTCAATGACCCAATATAGTTTGCCTCCTTCAGCAGTGAAGAAAATAATATATATTTCACTTGAAAGGAAGTTTAGAACAACTCTGCACTGAAACTAGTTACCATGGCAACCAGACATCAGTGCCTCATCATAAGATTGCTGACACATGATGCTTGAACAAGCAAACAAGTAATTTATTGGCACCAATCGATGAGGGTCTAATTTACAATAGAGAGAAAGAAATTACATGAACAATAGAAGTAAATGAAAAATTGACTAAATATATGGAAAATAATTCATGCTTCCATCCTTAAAGTCAATCAGCGCCAGTTTAGTACTGATCCACTCAACAGGTTATCAGTAATATTGGGTCGGTGAGAGGCAGTCTCTGCCAGACTCAAGCTGTTACGAGATTTATTACAACAATATCAAAAGCAATTTCCCAGGACAGATTGGTATTTGACATGAAACATATGTTTTATTTGGGATTAAACTTTCTTAGAGAAGTACAAATTCTAATTATTGGGTTGAATCCCATCAGGGATTCGAACACACACCCTCAGAGGGATCCCGGATGGGACTCAACCCAATAAAAGTACTAGAATCTGTACTTTACTAAGAAAGTTAAATCCCAAATATAACATATGTTACATTTGACCACTTTCTAAATGGCATTGTGTGTTCATGGTATTTGACATGTTCAACTCATGTTGAAGTCACACTATAAGAAAGACGGGAGTTTGTGTAAAATACAGATCCTCATTACTGTCTTCCATGGACCAATCAGAGGTCACCTGCAATGACACAACCATAGCATGCAGTGAGCTGGCCATGCTATATCCACACTGAGACAAGTTGATGGTGTGTCCAGACTCAGTGGGTGAGTGAGTGAGTTTACGCCTCAACATTCCAGCAATATCACCACCGGTCATGCCAGAAACAGGCTTCACACATTGTTGATATGTTGGGAACCAGCCTGGATCTTCGGCGAGATGAGCAAACGCTTTATCCACCAGGCTACCCCGTGTCCAGACTGAAGACAACATGATTGGTTACCATACTGAAGACAACATGGTGGTGTGTCCAGATATGCTCAGTATGATCACAGATAACACCTACACAACAATGATGAACCGTGTGATGGTCCGAAGAGCCTGAGGATCACAAGTAGGTACCGGTATGTATATTGACAGGAGGAGGCTCCGTCATAACGTGAGGGACAAGTAGGACGGCATGTTGGTGCTGGTGAGGCTAGAGCTCTCAGACAGTGCTCGGCGGAACTGCTCCCTCTTCCAGCCGTAGATGATGCAGTTTAAGAAGCCCTGGAGTGGACCCAGCAAGGCCTGGAACAAAACCGCTGACTGACAGAAACATTACACCAGCAAACCCGTCATAGGCTATAAGCAGCATTGTCGCAATGTATTCCTAACAAAATTATCACTGAAATGTTTCTACCTAATCAGATACATCTTCCATTTAGTAAACATAAAGTATTCAGGAATAAATATTTGTTACTCAATAGTCATGAAATATATCATATTCATCTCAAAGTGTATTCACTGCAGCCCTAACAAACCACTCCGACATTAACTCCATGCGACAAATTAAGGTCATTTCACCCATCCCTACACAGCTCCTGATAATGTTTGGAGCAACTAAGACTGCATGTTGACATTCAGACAGGGTATTCGAAATATCTCTAATCTCACAGAAAGGGAATGGGGGACCCAGTTGCAGGGTTGGGTATTTCTAATCACACAGAAAGGGAATGGGGGACCGAGTTGCAGGTTTGGGTATTTCTAATCTCACAGAAAGGGAATGGAGGACCCAGTTGCAGGGTTGGGTATTTCTAATCTCACAGGAAGGGAATGGGGGACCCAGTTGCAGGGTTGGGTATTTCTAATCTCACAGAAAGGGAATGGGGGACCCAGTTGCAGGGTTGGGTATTTCTAATCTCACAGAAAGGGAATGGGGACCCAGTTGCAGGGTTGGGTATTTCTAATCTCACAGAAAGGGAATGGGGACCCAGTTGCAGGGTTGGGTATTTCTAATCTCACAGAAAGGGAATGGGGACCCAGTTGCAGGGTTGGGTATTTCTAATCTCACAGAAAGGGAATGGGGACCCAGTTGCAGGGTTGGGTATTTCTAATCTCACAGAAAGGGAATGGGGACCCAGTTGCAGGGTTGGGTATTTCTAATCACACAGCAAGGGAATGGGGACCCAGTTGCAGGGTTGGGTATTTTTCTAATCTCACAGAAAGGGAATGGGGACCCAGTTGCAGGGTTGGGTATTTCTAATCACACAGAAAGGGAATGGGGACCCAGTTGCAGGGTTGGGTATTTCTAATCTCACAGAAAGGGAATGGGGACCCAGTTGCAGGGTTGGGTATTTCTAATCACACAGAAAGGGAATGGGGACCCAGTTGCAGGGTTGGGTATTTCTAATCTCACAGAAAGGGAATGGGGACCCAGTTGCAGGGTTGGGTATTTCTAATCACACAGAAAGGGAATGGGGACCCAGTTGCAGGGTTGGGTATTTCTAATCACACAGAAAGGGAATGGGGACCCAGTTGCAGGGTTGGGTATTTCTAATCTCACAGAAAGGGAATGGGGACCCAGTTGCAGGGTTGGGTATTTCTAATCACACAGAAAGGGAATGGGGACCCAGTTGCAGGGTTGGGTATTTCTAATCTCACAGAAAGGGAAATGGGGACCCAGTTGCAGGGTTGGGTATTTCTAATCACACAGAAAGGGAATGGGGACCCAGTTGCAGGGTTGGGTATTTCTAATCTCACAGAAAGGGAATGGGGACCCAGTTGCACGGTTGGGTATTTCTAATCACACAGAAAGGGAATGGGGACCCAGTTGCAGGGTTGGGTATTTCTAATCTCACAGAAAGGGAATGGGGACCCAGTTGCAGGGTTGGGTATTTCTAATCACACAGAAAGGGAATGGGGGACCCAGTTGCAGGGTTGGGTATTTCTAATCACACAGAAAGGGAATGGGGGACCCAGTTGCAGGGTTGGGTATTTCTAATCACACAGAAAGGGAATGGGGGACCCAGTTTCAGGGTTGGGTATTTCTAATCACACAGAAAGGGAATGGGGGACCCAGTTGCAGGGTTGGGTATTTCTAATCTCACAGAAAGGGAATGGGGGACCAAGTTGCAGGGTTGGGTGGGGAGCGGGTGTTCAGAGGAGGAGGTTTGGACACCTGTTGATTCACTTTACAAAGATTTGCAATCAAAAACATCTCAGACACAAATCTCACCTGCAGTAGGTATAGCACAAACCAGTCGCACATATGAAACCCTTCCGTGAAGGATATCACTCCTAAGATGAGGGCTGAAACACAATATTAACACAATCAACCAGAGGATCACGGGTACAGAAGCTCACATTTACAATTACATGAAAACCTGCAGCCTGTTAACACAATTCTCACACTGACAAACATATAATAGACATATGAAAGTGAAACAGACATTTTGGAAATGGTTAAAATCTTGATCAATACCTCAGTCTTCTTCAAGTAAACGTAATTAGATTTAGGTGAACTGTATTGCTATATTGTTACCCCTCGTCTGTACTATAATGACATATACTCACTGGTAAACCAGCAACACAGGAAGGCACACTGGTACTGTATTGCCATATTGTTACCCCTCGTCTGTACTATAATGACATATACTCACTGGTAAACCAGCAACACAGGAAGGCACACTGGTACAGTATTGCTATATTGTTACCCCTTGTCTGTACTATAATGACATATACTAACTGGGTAGCCAGTAACACAGGAAGGCACACTGGTACATTATTGCTATATTGTTACCCCTCGTCTGTACTATAATGACATATACTCACTGGGTAGCCAGCAACACAGGAAGGCACACTGGTACAGTAGTGCTATATTGTTACCCCTTGTCTGTACTATACTGACATAGACTCACTGGGTAGCCAGCAACACAGGAAGGCAAACTGGTACAGTATTGCTATATTGTTACCCCTTGTCTGTACTATAATGACATATACTCACTAGGTAGCCAGCAACACGGGAAGGCACACTGGTACAGTAGTGCTATATTGTTACCCCTTGTCTGTACTATAATGACATATACTCACTGGGTAGCCAGCAACACAGGAAGGCACACTGGTACAGTAGTGCTATATTGTTACCCCTTGTCTGTACTATAATGACATATACTCACTGGGTAGCCAGCAACACAGGAAGGCACACTGGTACTGTATTGCTATATTGTTACCCCTTGTCTGTACTATAATAACATATACTCACTGGGTAGCCAGTAACACAGGAAGGCACACTGGTACAGTATTGCTATATTGTTACCCCTTGTCTGTACTATAATGACATATACTCACTGGGTAGCCAGCAACACAGGAAGGCACACTGGTACAGTATTGCTTTCCTTCTCACAGTCGACTCCTCCTGACGCTGATGGAAGGTGTACAAACCTGAAGTTGGTTAAACATATCTCAGTAAGAGGCAGCTACCTTGAACAGTATTTCTGAGTAATCCTAGTTGAAAAGACTAAAGTGACACTGGTATACTGTGGAGAAACCAGTTTGAAGTGAAATGGTGCAGTGAAACTTCAGTGAGGGATAGCTGGGCATCAGATGCTAAGGGAGGTAACTCTACTGTAACTACTACACGGACCCTAGAATACTGCCACTCATACTACCCTATCTATTTATGCAATAGAGGTAAGATTGTCACTGTGGAAGGATAAACATCAGTCACACATGACCTATGAATAAAAAATATTACACATCCTCACACAAAATCTACAACTTACAAGAGATACTCATTCATTCATCCACAACCATCATTCACTTTTCAACAACACAGACATTTATTCATTCCCTCACTCATCTACGACAGATTGCCCAGTGACAGTCTACTTACCTCTCCTCATGGACACTTGCTTGAAGGCTCGGGTTATGAACACGTAAAGCACCTGAAGACAGAACACAATACAAATTACAATTTACAATTTCTCTCAATTAGTTCACAGTGAGGTGCCCACTTACGCAGGAAAACAGACCTTTCAGATGATTTGCTTCATAATGTTAATCCTTGGCATTTGAAAAGTCCACACACTCAAACAGAATATGCTTGATGGTGGTGGAGCGGATACAACAAAGGGGACACAACTCTACTAATAGTAAGTGAGTTTGGTTTTACGCTGCTTTTAGCAATATTCCAGCAATATCACGACACGGGACACCAGAAATGGGCTTTACACAATGTTCCCATGTGGGGAACTGAACGCGTGACAAGCAAAAGCTTTAACCACTATTATAAACCTCCAGTGATGTCACTCTATTGTCTCTATAGGTTCTCCTTTCACTGAGTACATCTTCAGGCAGTTTCGCGGGCATTCTCAATGAAATCCCGTGGATCTTCTGCAGAATTGCCCGCATCCTGGGGATTTTCAGAGGAATAGCCCTTGACTTTGAATTATTATTATTATATTTGAAGATTGATATTACTTTGTCTTGCTATCACTGAACACGATGTTGAAATGTCACACTATTGCATACTTCCATCATCTTCCTGGTTTCAAACCTGCAATCCTTCGCTCACAAGCTTGGCGGTTTTATCCACTAGCTACGAGGAATCGCTGTGAAGAATGAAATTGTTTGTCAGTATGAACCATGTGTTCCTCACAAGCAGGGGTGGAAATAACCCATTGCCTGACGTCCGAGTCCAGTGTTTTTTCTGTCGGGCAAGCAAATTTGTATATAACACTGTACCGGTGTCCAGTTGACTTTCTAATGTTAATTATGTTGTTTATTTTAAAAAAAACCCAGAAGATGGCCGGTATAGTGGAAAACTTATCAGGGCAAGTGATTTTACATGTGATACTGTACCGGAGTACACTAGCAATTTTTAAGTTAATTCCACCCCTGACAAGACGGGTCCTGCGGGCAGCACACGTGCAGGGCACGGGTAGCACATGCAGAGCACGTGCATTGCGCGTGCAAGGCAAGGTGTCAGTTGCCAGTCGCATCCCAGTTGATTTCAACAGTAAATACCAAATATTATAATTATATCTAAAGTATATCTTCGTTCAGTTCATAGGTTTCATCAAAACCGACTCCGAGGTTTTGTTTTAAATAATAAGCCCTTGTCCGTGGGAAATTGGGCCCCCTCCAGAATTTCCTTCTGCTGCAGGCTTTTTTTTTAAACAAAACCTCGGAATCGGTTTTGATCCTTTATATAACATCTGAGGGAAAAGATAGACAGGGGACATAACTCTGTACTCACAAGGTTAGAGATGAACACTGCGATGAGCGGAACGAAGAACACCAGCTTGTATGCAAGATGCCAGGATATGCCGCTAACCACTTGAGTCTGAAACAACATGCAGAATTTCAGGCAGATCAACTTGACGTGTTACAAGGCCAAGCGATGTCAGCGAAGGAGGGAGTTGTTCAATGCTGCAAACTGTAGCAATTTCCCAGCTGCAGGCTTCACTGACCACTAATAATCAATCCAGACAATTCCACAGATCATCAGAACTATCTGGGATCTATCTTAACATGAGTGAGTGAGTTTAGTTTTATGCTGCTCTCAGCAATATTCCAGCTATATGGCGGCGGTCTGTAAATAATCAAGCCAGGACCAGACAAAAATCCAGTCATCAACAGCATGGGCATCGATCTACAACATTGGGATACGAAGACACGTGTCAACCAAGTAAGCGAGCCGGACCACCCGATCCCGTTAGTCGCCTCTTATGACAAGCATGGGTTACTGAAGATCAATTCTAACGGGTCCCACTTGAATGAAACTCACCCAACACGGATCATCTTGAGTGTAGTGGAACACTGGCAAACATCTGCAAGACAAAACCAGTAGATGCTGTACATTCAACATGGCAATCATATTCTTTGAAACTTCAAAGTCACACAGTGTTTAATGTGAAAACACCTACGTAGCATAAATGAGTGAGTGAGTATGGTTTTACATCGCTTTTAGCAATATTCCAGCAATATTACGGTGGGGGGACACCAGAAATGGGCTTCAGATATTGTACCTATGTGGGGAATCGAACCTGGGTCTTCAGCATGACGAGTGAACGCTTTAACCACTAGGTTATCCCACCGCCCGGAAGAATAGAGGCACCATTACACTCTAGGTATATATTGAGTGAACTAAAATTAACATATTTAATAACACAATTAGGCCAGACCAGACTTTAGCCTTTAGTCTACCCTACCGCCCCCTACTAGTATAGCATGAGAACAAACAAGACATTAAAATACTTGTTACCCAAAAATAACCTAAAAGTCGTACTTATTTTAACAAAATTTGATGCAGTTATTTGAAGAAAATGTATGGCCAAGTTCAGCTTCATCATAACATCAGCTGCACACAAAAAGATGTTTGACTCATGGAATCATGATACACCTGGTCCTTTTCGTCTGCAATATATATATTCAGTCAGGTTACATTTATGACAATCCAGATTGAAGTCAATATGACAGAGAAAGGTTGTTGTCAGGACTCACGTGGAACATTCAGCTGGGATGACTTTAGTGAAATTGACATGTGGGCTGGTGGTGTCCTTGGCGGTCACCCAGTGCGTGAACACCAGCAGAATAATCCCCGCAGCCAGCGGCACCATCCTGCACAACACAAACACCATCATGATGAGGGAGTGAGTTTAGTTTTACGCCACACTCGGCAATATTCCAGCTATATGGCAGCAGTCTGTAAATACTGGAGTCTTGACCAGACAATCCAGGGATCAACAGCATGAGCATCAATCTACACAATTGGGATACGATGACGTGTCAACCAAGCCAGCAAGCCTGACCACCCAATCCCGTTAGTCGCCTCTTACGACAAGCATGGGTTACTGAAGATCAATTCTAACCCGGACCTTCACGGGTCCATCATGAAGAGGGCAGGAGAGTTCAGATTATCAACTTCCTGTTTTCAAACGCAGCACTTGTCACTTTACAGGAGGAATACCATCACATCAGCAGGGTCATCTCAAAAGACTGATCAGATTGAAAGTTGACATGATCTGAATCACTACTGTTATAATCTACAGATACAACCATTGGTACATCTGTGTTAAGTTATTAATTTCAGAAGATCAGAGAACACACAATAGAGCTCTGGGGACCTACTCTAACACAGGTCAAATCAGAAAGTGCACAATAGAGCCCTGGGGATCTACTCTAACCCAGGTCACATCACAGAACAAGCAACAGAGCTCTGGGGACCTACTCTAACCCAGGTCACATCACAGAACAAGCAATAGAACCCTGGGGACCTACCTCTAACCCAGGTCACATCACAGAACAAGCAACAGAGCTCTGGGGACCTACTCTCTAGCAGGTCACATCACAGAACAAGCAATAGAGCTCTGGGGACCTACTCTAAACCAGGTCACATCAGGGAACAAGCAATAGAGCCCTGGGGATCTGCTCTAACCCAGGTCACATCAATGAGCAACAACAGAACCCTGGGGACCTACTCTAACCAGGTCACATCACAGAACAAGCAACAGAGCTCTGGGGACCTACACTAAACCAGGTCACATCAGGGAACAAGCAATAGAGCCCTGGGGACCTACTCTGGTCACAGGTCACATCACCTGCTCTAGAACAAGCAATAGAGGCTCTGGGGACCTACACTAAACCAGGTCACATCAGGGAACAAGCAATGAGAGCCCTGGGGACCTACTCTAACCCAGGTCACATCACAGAACAAGCAATAGAGCTCTGGGGACCTACACTAAACCAGGTCACATCAGGGAACAAGCAATAGAGCCCTGGGGACCTACTCTAACCCAGGTCACATCACAGGAACAAGCAATAGAGCTCTGGGGACCTACACTAAACCAGGTCACATCAGGGAACAAGCAATAGAACCCTGGGGACCTACACTAACCCAGGTCACATCACAGAACAAGCAATAGAGCTCTGGGGACCTACACTAAACCAGGTCACATCAGGGAACAAGCAATAGAGCCCTGGGGACCTACTCTAACCCAGGTCACATCACAGAACAAGCAATAGAGCTCTGGGGACCTACACTAAACCAGGTCACATCAGGGAACAAGCAATAGAACCCTGGGACATATTCTAAGCCAGGTGACTTCAAAGGACACTGGAGTCCTAGTAGAGTTTTCTAATCTGACGGTTGAGAGGGTTATAGACTCACCATGCCACCGCATAGATCAGATGCATGAATGTATAGCTCACAACCTTTTTCTGCAAAGAAAAGCACATTATTAATATCTGATATGTCATCTCTGTCTTCAGTAAGACAGGGCTCCAGATAATGTTTGGGGGTGTGGGTGTACTTACACCTCATATTGCAAGTAGAGGTGTACTGAGAATTTTGAAGGAAGTACAGGCATATCTTTGTGTGAGCAGGCAGCTGATGTGTTTTTATTTATAATATTCAACAACTTTTCAACTGTTAAACTTTATGTTAGGCGTACAAAGGTATTTATGTGCATACATGATAAACAAAATCTTATATTATGTCATACATCATTGATTTTTAGGTGTACATTACTGGCTGTATCGCCCTTTATCTCTGGCCCTGGTTAGATAAAGATGAAAGGTGAAGATGTAGGAGTGACTATTTCCATAGGGCGTGTCTAAGCTTAGAAACAGCATTAGAAAGACATATTGATGTATAGACCCTACCCTAGAACTATATAAAGGAAAGGGATGTAACGATGAAACCACCCTCTCCTCAATCAAATTTAGATTTCACCATGTAACATATTTTTAAGGCCCCTACAGACCGAAAGCTAGATGATTTCCCTACAAAATGAGCTATAAATTGTCACAATTGGATCATTATTTTAAAAGTTATACTCCACAACTCACGAAAAACAGCTACCTCCACAATTCCAAGCCAAAATCATGGATCAGTCACAACAATGAAAAATGTAATTTTCTAAATAAAATTGATATTTTATACTTATCCTGACTCATGCTTATTTGCTTGTCTTCTTCTTCTTGCGAACACAGTGGAAACACTTGTATCTCCCAATTGAAGTTCCTTCAATGTAAAATCACTAATTAGTACTCCCAAGTTATCTGTCCTCTCAAGCTGAGCGAGGCCACCTCCACCCATGTGCCTCACTCTCTCCTCATATACTGAGCCCAACACTTGAATTTTCAGGGAAATCCAAAGTGTTATGTGGGGAGGATGGGAGGAGCTTACCTCATGAGTCAGGATAAGTATAAAATATCAATTTTATTCAGAAAATTACATATTTTTCCTTATTCTGACTCATGCTATTTGCTTGTAGAATCCTCTGAGAAGCGGAGGAGGTGGGAATATATAATACTTTGGATTTTGATAATTAGTGATTTGAACTGTAATGATTGTAATAACCCTATGGGAACTTCATAAAGGCACTGAACTGATGAATTCCTGCTGCTAACTTATCAGCTGCCATATAGGGGTTATTACAATATACTTATTATGATAAAAGTATATACCGTATATGACCGTCTATAAGCCGACCCCATGGATAAGCCGACCCCCAAACTTGACCCTCAAAATCAGTGTCAAAATCATATCTCTCATGGATAGGCCGACCCCCCGCGATGGGTCGCGGTCAACAGAGACCAGAGTACCCGGTAAGTATGTTCCATCAACGGCGAGACACCATTACGAGAATATTACATAATAAAGATTACCGGTGTTTGTTTACCTTTTTTTAACGATCACTGCTTGCATCAACAACGAGACGCCTTTTGAAAAGTGGATATACAGCGTAAGTGTTGGTGAGAATATTACATAATAAAGATTACCGGTGTATTGTGGCAACATGTGTTTGTGTTCCTTTTTATATCCCGACGATCACTGCTTGCATCAACAACGAGACACCATTTTGTGAAATCGGTGAGTATGGAGAGAAAAAGTACCATCGGTAAATAAAAACTGAAGTCAACTTTTGTTTCAAAATATATTATTTAAGTGTCCATATTTCATCTATATATATATGACAATAAGAAAAATAGTCCACTAACAATAAACACTGACATTTCTGCAAGAGAGTTCTGAGATTTTCACAAGTCATCGGCCGTAAACCCATCAAATTCGTGTCACTGTCCTCCTCATACTGTAAATTCGATCCACATTATTCAAAGAATTCACTGTCATATATATTGTGTCTACTCACGGATCGAAACGAAGTGTAGTTGACAGAAAATGCATAATATATTTTGCTTCTCTGAATATCATATTTATTGTAGCAACAAACTGGCTTGCTTATTTTACCCCATTCAACAATCACAAACTGATTACCGCCTCGTTCCATGTCACGTGCTTACCACGTTCATGATGGTCCGTATAACCTTAGTGTTGATTATATATTTTTTACATAAAAACTATTACACAATGCTAGGATATATTTCTTTGGGTTAAATAATAGTATTCAATCAATAGAATTCATCCCGTTATATTATTGTGCATGTTTGAACTTGTTCGGCGGGGAAAGCGTGTGCACAGCTGATTGCTATTTCGGCTTTGTGTAATGAGGCAAATCGCCGCGGTAATCTTAATTAATTTATAGAGCAAAAACTGTAACTAAAATTACACAATGCTAGGATATATTTCTTTGGGTTAAATAATGGTATTCTGTATTATATTTTACTGATGACTCGTCAGAATTAGGTCCGTTATATTATTGTGCATGTTTGAACTTGTTAGCGGAAGCGTGTGCACAGCTGATTGCTATTTTAGGCTTTGTGTAAGAGACAAATCACATACGGTAATCTTAATCCCTGCAAATAAAACAATGCCCAGCAAAACAACTTATAACTTAAATGGTAAATAATCTTGTCTAGTGATGTTTAATTGCAAATTTGGCGTCTCTACTGACAAAGTCGTCTTCTGTTGTTTGTTCCGCGTGAAGTGATACGATGTTGTTTTACCCTGGAAAAAGTTTGACGAAGTGTAACTCATGGATAAGGCGACCCCTTCTACAGGCGGCTTTTTTGGTCCTCAAAATTCGGCTTATAGGCGGTCATATCACGGTACAACATTAATACAATGCTTAAGACTAATAGACTTAAGCTTGTTAATATGATAGCATAAACTCCTTCGAGTTTGTTAGCTAAAATACTTTTATGAAGTAAACATAGTACTAAGCTTAAGATATGAATAAAACTTCAGCTATATATATAATAGCAAAACTTAGGTAGAGTTTGTTAGCTAATATATTTTATGATATGAGTATAGTACTGTGCTTAAGATATAATTAACTTAAGCTACCTAAATAATAGCAAAAAACTCCGTAGAGTTTGTTTGCTAATACATTTTATAATGTAACCATAATGCTTAAGATATGATGAAACTTAAGCTAAATATATAATAGCAAAAAACTCTTTAGAGTTTGTTAGCTAATATACTTTTATGATATAAACATAGTACTGAGCTTAAGATATGAATAAACTTAAGCTACATACATAATAGCAAAAAACTCGGTAGAGTTTGTCAGCTAATACATTTTATAATGTAACCATAATGCTTAAGATATGATGAAACTTAAGCTAAATATATAATAGCAAAAACTCTTTAGAGTTTGTTAGCTAATATACTTTTATGATATAAACATAGTACTGAGCTTAAGATATGAATAAACTTAAGCTACATATATAATAGCAAAAACTCCGTAGAGTTTGTTAGCTAATATATTTTTATGATATGAGTATAGTACTGTGCTTAAGATATAATTAACTTAAGCTACATATATAATAGCAAAAACTCTGTAGAGTTTGTTAGCTAATACATTTATAATGTAACCATAGTACTGAGCTTAAGATATGATTAACTTAAGCTAAATATATAATAACAAACTCCGTAGAGTTGTTAGCTTATATATTGTATGATATAATAACCATAGTACTGAGCTTAAGATAATAAAAGAACTTAAGCAAAATATATATAGCATGTAGCTATTTAGTACTGTTATAAGATAAGTAGAAATCTGTAAGACTGACTTATCTTCTCCGAGGAACTGTCAACTGTTGTGCGAGGACCATGGGACCGAATTGGTGGATACCTGAGACGACCTTGGTGGTGATATCTCTCAGATAGTGGTTGGCAAACACCATATCGGATCTCCAGAAATAACCCTCCATTATTTCAATAGCATTTGTGTAGAACAATTGTAGATGTTAGCGCTCTAATATCATGAGGATTAGAAGCTCTTGGAGGGTCGAGTCCTGCAGTCTTGTAGGCACGTAGTATGACAGTTCCAATCCAAATGGAGATAGTAGTACGTGAGACTTCAGTCTGCGTAGCTTGTTGATAGAGGAAATAAATCTCTTGAATTTTTCCCTCCTCTGTTTGGATCGGTGGAGATATATTTTCAGTGCTCTTACTGGCCATCGTGATAGATGCATCGTATCATGGGGTCCAAGTATATCATCAAAGCGTGTTCATAAACCTCACTTGTGAGGTGTTGGAGCACTATATATTCAGATCCCAAGCTGGAGCGTGAAACTTCCGTTTTAATCCTCCAATCGGGAAGCTCGTAGCAAGGTGAGTAACTGGGGTTAGGTTAACTTGACGCCCGTTCTCAGTTATGACAGAGCTTATTGCTGCAAGATAGGTGGACAAGTTGAGCCTTTTAAATTCTTAGTCTGACGTAGATAACATAAGTAGTCAGCCACTTGAGGATGAGTAGCATATCTAGCTGTAAATCCTTTCTTTGCAGCAAAATTGACAAAACTGTGCCATTTGTCATCGTATAAGTTGCGAGTTGAGTTACGCAGGGCAAGCTTGACTGCTTTGCCGCTCTGGCTGAATAACCTGTTATTCAGACACGCCTTGATACAATCCATACGAGAAGTTGGAATATTTCTGGCTTTCCGTGCGCTTGTTTGGTGTGCGGATGTATTAACAGATTCGAGCACTCTGGAAGATGTAGTATTGATTGTCCGATTCCTTGAATAAAAGTTGGAAACCACGTTCTCGCTGGTCAGTAGGCTGCGACCAAATTCAGATGGAGGCTCTGCGTTTGACTGATTTTGAGTAAGACTTCTGGGATTAACGCTGGTGGCGGAAAAGCGTACGCGTTGAGTCCTTCCCACGATATGCTTAGTGCGTCCGTTGCCCATGCTAGTGGGTCTGGAACTGGCGATACGAATGTTGTCAGTTGTTTGTTGAATCGAGTGGCAAATAGGTCTATTAGTGGAGTTCCTATTTCCTTGATAATTTGAGTGAATATCTCTGTACA